CCACGGTGCAGCTCGTAAGCCAGAAGATTCTGCAGGGGGCTGCTCAGCAGCTGCAGCAGCCTCACAGAGAATCCGTGAAAAAAACCTGGCCATTTGCCTTGATAGAAATGAGTGTGTGTCTCAAAATTTTCCGGGACCCCTTTTGGCTCAAGGAAACCAAAAGGGAACCACCTGGAAAAGTGTCCCCTTGTTCTGAGACACCCCCAGATGGCCCTCGGAAAGTCTTCGCGGCATCCTTCAAGCGCCCCATGCGGGGCCCAAGCCGGCGGTCTGTGTGCGCTCAGCCTGGTGCACCGCGCCGTGAAGCCCTGGTCCGAACTAGTGGTCCAATCTGAAAAAGACCTCCCCGAAGAGGTGATGCAACCGAGTGGGCTCTGAGAGTGGCCGAACACTTTCTCAATATTTTTTGCTTACAGCTAAAGAGCTTTTCTCAAAAAGTGCAAGGCCCAGAAAGATGGAAAGCGAGAAAGGGGAAGTGGACGCCCGCAGCTCGGCTCAATCTTTCCGCGCCCAGCAGTCTCCTGGAGATTACAATCTAAGAACGAGGAATCGAGATGTGAGGAAGCTCCCTGCACTCCCTGCAATCAGACGTGTATCTTTGCATATCCTTAATGTATATGTAGCGTCGTAGCGTTGATGATCTCAAAGCAATGGATCAAAGTCCCCCATGAACGTGACCTCGTCACCATCACGAGCACCAGCCTGGCGCAAAGTCAGCGAGGGATGCTCACATCTCCTCCACCGTTTGCTGCCGCGCTCGAACACGTAGCCGCCGCCAGATTTGCTGCTAGTTGTAAGAGTGGTCATGCCCACATGCTCCCCGAAGGACCAAACGTTGCTGTCGAGGGCTGCACTGCAAACCACAGTTTTGGTCTTGCTTTTGTCCATTAAATTGACATGAAGAACCCCTGAAACGGACGCACCAGTTGCTGAGACACATGGCTCAAAGTCGCCCATAAACGTGACCTCGTCACCATCACAAGCACCAGCCTGGCGCAAAGTCAGCGAGGGATGCTGGCATCTCCTCCACAGTTTGCTGCCGCGCTCGAACACGTAGCCGCCGCCAGATTCGCTGCTAGTTGTAAGAGTGGTCATGCCCACATGCTCCCCGAAGGACCAAACGTTGCTGTCGAGGGCTGCACTGCAAACCACAGTTTTGGTCTTGCTTTTGTCCATCAAATTGACATGAAGCGTCACTGATCCGGACGCACCAGCTGCTGAGACACATGGCTCAAAGTCGCCCATGAACGTGACCTCGTCACCATCACAAGCACCAGCCTGGCGCAAAGTCAGCGAGGGATGCTCGCAGCTCCTCCACCGTGTGCTGCCGCGCTCGAACACGTAGCCGCCGCCTGAGTCTCTACTAGTTGTGAGAGTGGTCATGCCCACATGCTCCCCGAAGGACCAAACGTTGCTGTCGAGGGCTGCACTGCAAACCACAGTTTTGGTCTTGCTTTTGTCCATTAAATTGACATGAAGAACCCCTGAACCGGACGCACCAGCTGCTGAGACACATGGCTCAAAGTCGCCCATGAATGTGACCTGCTCACCATCACAAGCACCAGCATGGCGCAAAGTCAGCGAGGGATGCTCGCAGCTCCTCCACAGTTTGCTGCCGCGCTCGAACACGTATCCGCCGCCAGAGTCTCTGCTAGTTGTAAGAGTGGTCATGCCCACATGCTCCCCAAAGGACCAAACGTTGCTGTCGAGGGCTGCACTGCAAACCACAGTTTTGGTCTTGCTTTTGTCCATTAAATTGACATGAAGCGTCACTGATCCGGACGCACCAGCTGCTGAGACACATGGCTCAAAGTCGCCCATGAATGTGACCTCGTCACCATCACGAGCACCAGCCTGGCGCAAAGTCAGCGAGGGATGCTCGCATCTCCTCCACCGTTTGCTGCCGCGCTCGAACACGTAGCCGCCGCCAGATTCGCTGCTAGTTGTAAGAGTGGTCATGCCCACATGCTCCCCGAAGGACCAAACATTGCTGTCGAGGGCTGCACTGCAAACCACAGTTTTGGTCTTGCTTTTGTCCATTAGATTGACATGAAGCGTCACTGATCCGGACGCACCAGCTGCTGAGACACATGGCTCAAAGTCGCCCATGAACGTGACCTGCTCACCATCACAAGCACCAGCCTGGCGCAAAGTCAGCGAGGCATGCTCGCAGCTCCTCCACCGTTTGCTGCCGCGCTCGAACACATAGCCGCCGCCAGATTCGCTGCTAGTGGTAAGAGTGGTCATGCCCACATGCTTTCCAAAAGACCAAACGTTGCTGTCGAGGGCTGCGCTGCAAACCACAGTTTTGGTCTTGCTTTTGTCCATTAAATTGACATGAAGCTGTATTTGCTGCTCCGGCATCTTTGTGCGAAGCTCCATTGCTTGGCTGGCAAATTGGGGATCTGGACAAATTTAAAACATCATCCATACGCTTTTGGCTTCCTTTTGGATAAAATAACAGCTATGTGCCATTTAGCACCCAGCACAATCCCTGGTGGCCCCTCTTGTGCCACTCTGCGCGGCACAAAAGAAGCTGCAAAACGAGATCGTCTGAGCTGGCCATGCACTGCTGACGATCCCTGGAAGATCTCACAAAACACCAAAATCCAACCTGGCAGAGTGACCGAATTATTTTGGGACGAAATTTCGGTGCTTGGGGCAAAGCCCTTTCAGGCAGCAACAGGCGATCCCGGCCTCACATCTTCCGCTTTGACATCCTGGCGCCAAGATGTCCAGCGCGATCGGTGCGATAGGGGATGTGGGGATGCCGGCGCCCGTCCCCTAGGAAACCAGTTGGATGGTTCTTTGGGGGGGCATTCTACTTCTCATTCCCTGCATCTCTCGCAGCGAATGGCACCAAGAATTTGCACCCAGATTCCGTGGAAGCCCGGGGCCAGCACTGTGATATGAAAGACTTGACCCATGAGGCCAATTTGGGGGAGCTTCCGGATGTGAGTCTGAGGGAGTGTATCTGGGTATGGCTTTCCATGGGGAAGCCTGTGAATAAAAACAAGTGCATGGCTTGATCTTCACACACCATTCCATCTCAAAAACTTGCGCCGGAGCCGCATTGACCACTGACGTCCACCAAGTCTCAAAATGGCCTCGACGTTCCTTTCCCTTGACAATAAAAAAAAAGACACCCCTCATACATATTGCCAAACCGTTGATCTGTTTGGACCCATGCTCTTAGGTGCCCGCTTGAAAAAGCCCCCGGCGCGAGAACATATTCAAACAAGTAGTCAAGCAGATTCAAACTGAAAACAGCGCAATCACCTGCGACCCGTTTCGCCCGGAATCTACACGTCCGAATTCCTAGCGCGTGATTTGTGTTGGCGCCGAATCGTAGGCTTTAGCCATCCTATTCGGCCCGAGAGGATGGAAGCTTGGTCCCAGGAGAAGGAATTGTCTTGAGGGTCGGAGTGCTGCACAAGCCACCCTCCCACCCACACACCCACCCATCCAGCCACCCATCTCTCCACCCTAGCACCCTAGCCACCCTATCCCGCCACCCTAGCCCCCTAGCCCCCCAGCCCCCCGGCCCCCCTGGCCAGCCATAACCCAAACCCCCAAAGGAAGAAGGCACCCACACCCACACCCGACCTTTTGAACACAAACCAACCTAACGGGTCCCATGCTGTCGCAAGCCCGCTCCTGACGCCGCCTTTCCACCTCGTGCTCCAGGAAGGCAAACAGCCGCGCCCGCGTGGGGTTCCAGATGCCCTTCTCCTTACGAGCGCGTTCTTTCCGGCTGAACGAAATCGATGCGCTGGGTTCTGCATTTGTTCAACTCCAAAATCGAAAAGATGAGGGATCCCCAAAGGATCCTTCCCATGGTGTGCTCGTTTTGCCAGCTCGCAATAGGCAGATGGGATTCCCATCCCCGATACCTTGGGGATTGCCAAAACATGACCTTGTGCTGATCGTGATCGGGGCTTGGAGCAAATTTTGGGGCTATAAACACTTTTGATCGCTTTAAGAGGGACACAGGTTGGCCTGAAAACCCCCGTTTCCCACAATCATGCCCGTCCACCAGACTTCCATTTGGATGTAAAGAGTCACTCACCAACGTGTAAGGGTTAAACAACCTAGACGGGAGTATTGAGGTTTGTATAGTGTTCCCTTGGATGGTCCCCGAAAGCCGGGGGCCTATGCCAATTGGTCATGAAACCTTCTGTAGACCAACCTTTATAGAAACATGATGGGCCCCTACTTGAATCTGAAAAAATGCAGTGATCTGGAGTTTGGGTGTCATTCGTCGCACAAATGCTGGAGCCTTTTTAAGGGGACCCCTCCAAAATGGGATGCGGTTCTCCTTGGGGTTTCTGTTGAACTCCCTGCCTCCCCCCCCCCCCCCGCAAAAAACAAAAAAGAAGATTGCCGGGCTCTTTTTCGTGCTCGCACCACCCCGCAGCCCTCGCAGAACCTCGTGGAACCCTGGTGGAACCCTCGTAAAACCCTCGTGGAACCCTCGTAGAACCTTACCTCAGGGCCGCCCCGGACCACCCCGGAGCTGAGACCCCAACGCTTTCAGCGGAAAAACAAAAACGCATAATATTGTTAAACCAAAGGTACTCTAAAACAAAAACCAAAAACAAATGGGTGCTCCACCCCCGCTCAGATCTCTCGGGCAAGGCTCATTGAGGTACTTCCGCAGCAGCCAGAACTGCCGCCGCGAGTTCCCGTGAAGCGCCTGTAGCTGCCTCAGCTGAGACAACAGCCAGGCGCACAGCCCGCACGCAAAGGAAGGTCCACCGGCAGAGTGTCTCTCTTTTCTTGCTTTTTGGCGCTTTAATAGGAAACCAACCAGAAAACCGCCATGTTGGGGAAAGTTTGAGAGATCTCCCTTTTATGGCCTCTGGTCATGATTCCCTTTGGAATCATTCTGGTTGTTAAGGATCCTACCGGGTGGATGACCAGGCCTGTTCCCCTGTAAACGGGTCTTTTGTGACTATTGCACGCGTGGGGTTAGTTATTTGTCTCCGGGATCCCTTGTA